AACGACGGCATGCATTGAGGCCGGTGGCCATGCCCGGGCACTCCCGCACCTTATTGCCAGTATCGGGGATTGGACACGCTGGCCCATAAATACTATGCGGCCAGGCTCGCGTTCCGGGAACCCGCTGGGGAGCGCGCTGGCCAGCGGCATAATAACTACTGCAAAAAAGTTCGCACGTGAAACAGACGCACAGGACATGGCACAGAGGAAAGATAAAATAAATGTGGAAAACTCCAGCGACACTGCGCGGTGCTGCGTGGGATAAAGGAAAGGTGACTGAGCGTGTCACGCATGCCTACGCACGCACACCGCTCCAAAAATGGCAGCCATTTTTCCCGTGCCCCCACCTGGGGCACGAACCGCTTCGTGTAGTCCCCGCGGACTCTCGCAAAGCGCCCCACAGTGGGCCAGAAGACCGGCGGAGGCGGACAAAACTCTTGACGCGTTTTGAGCTCCAGAGTCGCTGAATGGTACTCGAACCGAACGTGTGACCCCACCAATGGATTGCTCTCCGAACGAGGAATCCATTTGTGGGGTCACACATTCGGTTCGAGTCCCATTTAGCGGCTCTGGAGCTCAAAACGCGTCTGCGGAGTTTTGTCCGCCTCCGCCGGTCTTCCGGCCCACTGAGCGCCCCCACCCCTTCTCCCCGCCGCGGTGGTGAGCTCAGGCATCGCTTTCTCAATTAGGATGTCGCCTCGCGCAATATCGGCCCGATCACGCCATGCCTGTGGCACCCCGCCGTCGTCCCGTTGTCGCGACGAGCTAACTTGGGGAACCCGTGGCACGGCGCGCCGGGCCAGGTGTCAGGCCGGGTGTCGTGGGCGTGCGTGCCTGGAGGGGCCGTGGAGGGGCCAAGTGCTTGTCTCCACGTCAGCAGCAAGCGGCCCTCTCCGCCGCAGAGCCGCAGAGCCGCAGAGCCGCAGAGGCGCAGAGCCGCAGAGGCGCAGAGCCGCAGAGGCGCAGAGGCGCAGAGCCGCAGAGGCGCAGAGCCGCAGAGCCGCAGAGCCGCAGAGGCGCAGAGGCGCAGAGCCGCAGAGGCGCAGAGCCGCAGAGGCGCAGAGCCGCAGAGCCGCAGAGGCGCAGAGCCGCAGAGCCGCAGAGGCGCAGAGCCGCAGAGCCGCAGAGCCGCAGAGCCGCAGAGGCGCAGAGCCGCAGAGCCGCAGAGCCGCAGAGCCGCAGAGGCGCAGCCCGAAGAGCGCCCGACCGCTCCGGCCGGCCGGCCAACACGGCCGCGTTGCGGGCCTGCCTATGCCGCGGTCCGCAGGCGCTCCAGGTGCCTGGCTGGCCGAGCACTGCGGGGATTCATTCATCCTTGGGGTCCATTCTGCGCGCCCGGCCGCGGAATCAGCCGACCGACGGAATCAATTCAGACGCCGTTTTGCCTACGTAATTGCAATTATCGGGAGAGAAGGGGCGGGCGGGCCCGCCAGGACCGGCACGGTGGAAAGGGGGAAAAGGGGGTGGAGGAGGAGGAGGAGGAGGAGGAGGAGGAGGAGGAGGAGGAGGAGGAGGAGGAGGAAGAGAAGGAGGAGGAAGAGGAGGGCGAGGACGAGGACGAGGACGAGGAGGAGGAGGAGGAAGAGAAGGAGGAGGAGGAGGCTTCAACAACGCAACTACCGCGCCAACGGTCTCGGCAACGTCATCGAGTTCCCGATAGAGGCCGTGCAAATGGGGCTCTGGACGCGGAATGCATAGAGAGGAGGCCGTTGCAGCGCAAATACATAATGAGGGCCGCGAGGGGAAGGGGGGGGGGAATGGAGCACCCGCTGCAACGGTGATGAACAGGGCGCTAACGAGGCGACGCATTCCGGCCAACATTGTTGGCTGATCAGGAAAAAGGAGGAGAGGAAACAAAAAGCTCGTTCACCGTCGGGCCTCATTGTCATTCCTCTAGTGTGGGCGCGCAACGCCGGCAGTGGCTGCACGGCAGTGGCTGCATCTGCAGTGGCTGCACCACCGACTGCACCAGTCTGGCTGCAGCTCCCGTCGCTCTCTCCCCCCCGAAGTGGCGCGGTTAAACTCGTGCAAAACAAGATCATTAGTCGGGCGAGCATCTCCGCGACCCGGCGCGGTGCTGCGCGGTGCTGGGGGTTCGATTTGGCGGCGCTGCGCTGCCGAGGCGTCCCGGTTGCGGGGAGCGAAGGACTGGGGACGGCACGCGATGAGGAAATGCTCGACCTGGCGCCTTACAGCCAAATTTCGGAAGCGACATCCAAAACCCATCTAGGTTCGAAATGAAAATAAAAGTTGGGGATCGGCTCTGAGAGTGTCGAAAAGAGCAAAGAAGCGCCGGTCCTCGGTGGCGCATTCAAGTAGGACACAACGGCAAGCCTCAAAGCTCGGCGGCGGGCAAAAGAAAACGACCTCCCGTTTTCGACACGAAATAGAAGGGACGAAAGGGGAGCGGTCGTGACTGGACGTGACCTTGCGTGCGTGCCGTGCGTGCGTGACTGACTTTAATTCGTGCGAGGCACGCACAGCGCTATCGCGGCGAGCGGCGCGTTAACGGAGCGAAGACGGGCGGTGGCCGAGACTCGGACCAAGACCACGTGCGGACAGGACTCAAGGGGCAGGCGCGTTTCGCTCTCGGAAAGCCTGAAATAGGCCTCGGACCAGACCGATGGCACCGATGGATGGCCGGTCGGCGCGAAGAATCGATTGATGTCATCACTGAAAAACCAAACGTGGTCCAGACCGCACCACTGGTGTGGTCAGATGGGTGCCATTTTGACCACATCAGTTGGTGTGGTCTAGACACCAAACGTGACCAGCGCCAGACGTGGTCTAGACCGCACGAAACGTGGTCAAACGTGGTCTAGACCACACCAACTGATGTGGTCAAAATGGCACCCATCTGACCACACCAGTGGTGCGGTCTGGACCACGGTTGGGTTTTCAGTGACCGTCGGTTTGGTTCTGGTCCCATGAAGGAATTGCAGAGCCCCAAACGTGGCCACGGCGTTTCCGTCTTTGTTGTTCTGGTCGCGGACGTCGCTTGAGAGCGGTGCAGCGCTTTTAATTAATCTCGACTTGGCGTGGAGCGAGCGCGGCCAGGGAGCGTGGCACGCCCCGCACGCCCCGCACGACGCGCAGCGAGAACAAAGTCTCCCCTCCACAGGCCCAGCCGGGCCAAAGTTACAGGAGCGCCACGCGCTTTTCGAGACGCAGCATGACGTAGTGTGATCCCTTGCGGAAAATGACTTTCCCTCGGCCGTTGTTGCAGACGACAGCGCCGGTTCGTCCGAGCCACCCCCGCAGACTCGTTTGTTTCCGAGGGAAACGGATCCCCGGCCCCTAAATCACGGCGGACGATACATCCGAGATACATCCGCCATCTCGGCCGGGACGCCACCAAACGGACGGCCTCTGCGGGCGGACGACGACGGCGGCGGCCTTCACTGTAAATGTCTTACGGTGAAAGGCTGCACCACGAGGGGGTAACGACTTCGGGAATCCGGCTGACAGCAAATTGGGAGGTAATCCGGGGTAATCCGGGGTAATCCAGGATTTTTTTTGTTGTAATCTGGAGGTAATTTGGGAGTAATCCGGGGTAATGCGGGGTAATCCGTAATCCGGCTGGCACGAAATTTACCAGTCGTTACCCCCTCGCTGCCCCACCATTAGTGTTGGGAAGTTGGAAAAAAAACATGGAAAAATACGTTTTTTTCCTATGTTTTTTTCGTTTTTTTCCATGGCTATACTTTTCGTTTTTTTCCAATTTTGAAAATTTTCTAACTTTTGAGTGTTTTAACTAGGTTTTGTCTTTTTCTGATTGGGAAGTATTTAAATGAGAAACATCTTAATTTATCTAATACCCCAATTACCTCAAAAGCCCCTTAAGAGTGTATGGTGTGGGAACTAAAATTCTGAAAAATACGAATAAGGTTTTCAAGTATTGATGCAACAAGTATTGATGCAATTTTTAAATCGAGTTTGACATTGATCCCAGCAGTTTTTTGTGTTCTGATAGCGAAAATCACTTCTATTTCTACCCCTGGTCTAAAGTTCACTGAATATGAGCCCGTAAGATGGATATTTCGTCTACTCAAGCAAAGTCCAAAGTGCACAAACTATGTCAATTCGCATCGCTCAGCCACACTACGCGCCCAGACTAAACGGCACGTACCCCCAGTATAGACCAATCGGGAGAGACGTGTCATGAAGCGGGAACTTCAAACAACCCCAAACGTGGAAATGCCTTCAGGGCCCACGCAAAGAAGATATTGCGTGACATACATCGTCATATTTACCAAATCCGAGCTTTTAGACACGATAATCTATTATCCAGTAATATTTTTAAACTAAATAACGCTTTTTTTTAAATTTTTCATACTTTTCCATTTTTTCCGGAAAAAAACATGGAAAAGTATGTTTTTTTCCGGCTGATTTAATTTTTCCGAAAAAAAACCAACACTACCCACCATATTATAGGGGAGATTTTGTCCATAAATACCAATGAAATTCGTTAAAATATCTATAAGGTACAGTGAATTCTCAATGGTACGTATGTTATGAAGTCGGCTGCACCACCATAATATGGAACATTTTTACAATAATATATGGAGAATCTTCACTGGACAACATTTGGAGTGTTCTCCTCTTTGCGGGACGGCATCCCGACGGACGAAGAGTGTAAGGGATCCCGTCCGCACCGTACGGCCGGGCCGAAAGGTCGCATTTCCAAAAGGAACCAATCCATCGCCTCACCTGGCGGACCCGCGGCGACCGGGACCAGATGAGTCCGGTCAAGGTCACCGCGCGTTTCACGTTGGGACGAGTGGCAGACGCGGCCGGGCTGGCCTGGGCCATGCTGGGCCTTGGGGCCTCTAGGGGCGAACCACCAAGTCTCTCGTATGGCTTGCTGGCATTGGACGGGTTTGGACGGGCCCCGATGCTCCGTTTGCCGAGCACATTCGCCAAATAGCGTGTTTGAACCTCAGGTCTGGGTCGGTCCGCCCCCCGGCCCGCCTCGCCCTGATTCCTAGAAGCTTCCTCACCTGAATGTGACCCGGGCCTCGGTGGTGTCCTGAGCCAGCCACTGGAAGACGGCCTCGCCCACCGACAGCGCGGCGCCGCCGCCGCCCGCGACGCCCTGGCCCAGGCACGGCCCCGGCGAGCCCACCCAGGACCCGGCCGACGACCAGAGCGAGAAGTCGCGGACCGCGGCCAGCGGGGCTTGAACCCAGACTGCAACAGAGACAGAAAAGTTAGATTGTGCCACGGCCTCATTCCCATCGGCAGCCCATCGCCACCCCATCAACAAACACAGCAAACTCGCGGCGTCGTCCATCAAAGCCACAGCGTGGGATGACACTCTCAAGTCCGCGGCGGCACCCCGCCAAGCCCCGCCCCGCCCCGCCCACGGACCGGCGGGGCTATTCATCAGAGGATCAAACAGTGGCTCGCTTAGCCGCATTCCCACTGATCAGGAGGGGCTGAGCCACACCCCACCTGGCCATCTCGTTCATGACTGGAGCCCCGCTAACAGCCACAATTTGGATCCAAAATCACAAAATTTGAAAAAAGAAGAAAGGAAAAGAAGGAAGGTTTTGATCTGTTACTGGAAAACGACAAATGAGGCCTTTCTTCTTGCCCAAACCCATTTTGATGGAGGAGACCCTCTCTCCGGTCCTTTCTGGCCACAGTTCCAATGTCCTCTTTGGCCTTGTGACACCTCGCACTCTCGAGTGCAACCATAGCCATATGGGCAACCTGGCCACCTGACCACTCTTCAGCGTGTATGCCGAGTAGGAGTAGACATAGGACCCCTCGCAGGTCGCGCGCGGGCGTGTATGTATGTGTGTGTGTGTGTGTGTGTGTGTGTGTAACTGTGTGTGTGTGTGTGTGTGTGTAACTGTGTGTGTGTGTGTAACTGTGTGTGTGCAAATGTGTGTGTGTAACTGTGTGTGTGTGTTTGTTTGTTTGTGTGTCCGACATATGTTAGGCCGAGGCCAAGGTCGTGGCCTTATGCGGGTGGGGGTGGGGGCAGCCTGGAAGTGGCCGCCGTGCTGATAAATTTTTCATACGGAACACAGCTTCCGGAACGACGTCGCCGGCATTAGGCTGCAAAGCGGGGACGGCGGGGCGCGGCGGGGCGGCGGGCCTCGACAAACAGCAACGCGATGTAGTACTCCACGGACGGGCGGGGGATAGGCGCGCGCGCGGGGCCATGGCGGGGGCACTCTACACGCATACCGCAATATTTACGACACACAACAAACTTGGTGGACGGGCAGGCTAGCTGGCAGGCAGGCCCGCCTCGGAATGGAATTCGCGAGCTACGCACTGCCGCCTGCCTGCCGCCGTCAAGCCACAGACAGACAGACAGACAGACAGACAGACAGACAGACAGACAGGCAGACAGACGGACAGGCAGGCAGGCAGACAGACAGACAGGCAGATAGACAGACAGGCAGACAATTCAATTCAATTCAATTCAATTCGTATTTATTAAGAAAAACTTAAACAAGGCACTTACAGATAGAAACATTAACATAGTAATAAACTGCCTAAAAATAGAAAAAGACAACCCCTAAGCATGACTGCTTGTCAGGGGTGGATTTACTGTCTTTCTGTCATAACAAACAATAAAAACAAACAAACAAAAATCTTTTACAAACAAAAAAGTCTTTTACAATTTAAACTCCACCTTTCTTTTTGTTATTTAGATTTTTCAATTGTTTGTACTTAAAAAATATTGTTTTAATTTTGTTTTCATGGCACTTTGACTATTTATATTCCTTAAATCTATTGGCATCTTATTTAGTATTTTTGGCACGACCACCTCTGTCAGTCTATCACCATACTTATTCATACCTATCTTATATTGGAAACTCTCATTTCTTGTTAAGTATCTATGTTGTACTATATTTCTAAACTCTTTCTTAAAATAATTTCTTTTTAAAACTTTTAATTTGTACAAATTCTCTAATGTTAAAATAGTATTTGGTAATGGAACTCTTTGCTTTTTCTTCACAATCTTTACAGCTCTCTGCTGTAATGATTTAATGGGGAGCAAGTTTGTATCCGAGGCAGATCCCCACACTTCAAGCCCATAACTCATGACTGATTCAAAGAGGGCTGTATAAGCCATGTTTACTATGTTATGTGGGGAGCAGTTACTTAATTGTGATAATTTATACAGGCAACACCTCAACTTCCCTCTTAGCATTTTAACATGGCTTTTCCAGTTTAGGTGTTTATCAACTATCAACCCTAAATACTTCACTGACTCCACCATTTCAATATTCATTTTGCAGGTGCAATTTGCAATATTACTGTGTATACACTCAATAGAATGAAATCTTAGGTTAAGATCTCTTCTTGCAATATAAGGAGTGGATATATGCATTACTTTAGTCTTTGTTCCATTCATTATGAGATTCTTATCATGACACCATTTTTGGTACTCAGTAAACTCCTCCTGCAGTCTTGCCTCAGCTATATCTAAGTTTTTGTGTACAGAAATTATAACAGTATCATCTGCATACACAAAATATTTACATTTTTTAAAACACCTTTTTAGATCGTTTATATAAATCAAGTACAGCAGGGGACCAAGAAAACTGCCTTGTGGTACACCATACTTAAGTTTTACACAGCAGCTGTCAACTCCTGCCACACTTACCTTACACATTCTGTTTTCCAGATAACTTTTAAACAGTTTGTACGCTTCTCCTCTCACCCCAATATTTTCTAAGCTTTTCAATAATTTTTCATGACTAATGGAATCAAAAGCCTTAGACAAATCCACAAACATTACAACAACATGCATACCTTTATCCAAGGACTCATTTACTATGTCAGAGAAATTTTGTAACAGATCAATGGTACTCTTTCCCTTCTGATACGCATATTGGTGTTCATCAATCACTTTGTACTTTTTGAGGTATGAGAATAAATGTGTATACATATATAGCTCAATTGCCTTGCTTATAGTTGATAAAATGGAGACTGGTCTATAATTACTATATTCACAGGGTGATCCAGTTTTATAAATAGGCCTGATTGTGGCAATTTTGATTTCATCGCAGAAAATTCCTTTTTTTATTGAGTTATTGATTATGTTTTGTAATATTGGAGCAACTAGTTCGATATTGTCACTTAGGTGTGATACCTTAATTCCATCATCACCAGGAGATTTTTCTTTTAAAGTCAGAATAATTTTTATCACATCCTCTATTGTTGCTTCTGGTAAAAAGAAAGAGTTGGTTATTCTGTCAGTTGCATTCTTCAGCAAGAGTGTCGGACATTCATGCATAATACACTCAACCTGATCTTTGAAAGTATTGACAAAGTTATTGGCAACCGTTTCTATTTCTAAGATACCCGCAAAATTTTTTGTAATTATGTTGTCAATATTTTCACTCACTTTGTTATTTAATACAGAGTTTACCAGTTTCCAAGTAGCCTTAATATCATTTTTACATTTTTCAAATTGCTCCTCCATATATCTTTCCTTGCTTCTTTTAATAGAGTAAATTATTTTATTTCTGAGACCCTGATAAACTTGTCTCAGCTCCAGTCTTTTTAAGTAGCTTTCTTTCGAGGACACTTTCCATCTTTTGAAGGCTTTATCTCTCTCATGCATTAAGCGAACAATCTCATCAGTTATCCAAGGTTTTCTTACATGTCCATTTACTTTTCTCTCCTTCATTTTAACCCTTATGGTAGCAGACGAAAATGCCTCTCTAAGTTCTAAATAATTTTCACTTGGACTTTCCGTCATATTATTTTTGACACTATTTAAGTTTTCCTTCCACCTCTTTTTTACAAGTATGTTCTTCATTTTGTTTTCACTTTTTCCATCTTCCTCACATTTATTTTTATTATTCTGAAAAGAGAGCAGAGCTCCTACCATATAGTGATCACTAATTTTACATTTTATTATTGCAGGATACACATTTTTATAGTTAACACTTACCGCAATATGATCAATACAGGTTTCACTTAAATGGTTTCCAGCATATTCCTCTCTGGTACATTTGTTAATACAGTGCCTGATTTTATTACTTAATAACATATCTATATAATCACTTGTGATTTTACCTTCCTGCAGAATATTAATATTTATGTCTCCTATTATTACAGTATTTTTCCACTTTTCCGCTTGCAGTAGATCATCTATTTCATCCACAAAGTCCGCTGTCTTACCATAGGGGGGTCTATACACAGCCAATATTGTTGCTTGTCGTCCTCTCCCATCACATACTTCCACACAAATTCCCTCAAAATTTTTCGGGGTTACACTGATTTGTCTAGAAGAGAGAGTGTCTCTTACAAACACCGATAGACCACCACCTTCACAATTACTTCTGATAACATTTATACTGCTAAAGTGATGTAGCACATACTTTTCAAAACTATTTCTTATTCTAGTCTCACTAAGAACTATGATATCTATCTTTTCCAATACTTTATCCAGTAGTATACATAGTTGATCCCAGTACTTATGAATCGTTCTTATGTTTAAATGTACAATGCACAAATCACCCTCAGACAGACAGACAGACAGACAGGCAGACAGACAGACAGACAGACAGACAGGCAGGCAGACAGACAGACAGACAGACGGACAGACAGACAGACAGACAGACAGACAGACGGACAGACAGACAGACAGACAGACAGACAGACAGACAGACAGACAGACAGAGAGATCAAACGGGACAGAGGCAAAGGGCAGCCGCGCGCATCGGCGGCCTCCCGAATTTTGGCGGGGCAGGCGGGGGGCAGGCAGCGTGCACCGCGGCCAGCCGCCCGAACCGCATTCATTATGATTGCGAGTTGCAGCGAAGGCCGCACATTGTCTGGCCGAGGCCCCGCCAGGCGAGGCAATCAATAGCACCGCTCCGACTTTCCACAGCCTGCCGCCGCGGACCGGACGCACAGTGGGCCAGAAGACCGGTGGAGGCGGTCCAAAGTCCCGGAAGCGTTTTGAGCTCCAGCGTCGCTAAATGGGACTGGAACCGAACGTGTGACCCCACCAATGGACTCCTCGTTCGGAGAGCAATCCATTGGTGGGGTCACACGTTCGGTTCGAGTCCCATTTAGCGACTCTGGAGCTCAAAACGCGTCTAGAGTT